TTGGACAGCTCCTCAGAGACTTGGGGTGAGAAACAGGAATATCTGGAGGGGAAGATGAAGACTGTGTGTGTGTGTGTGTGTGTGTGTAGAAGACAGGAAAAACTTGAAGCTGCTCAAATGCTAAAGGGAAGAAACCCATAAGAGGTGTTGAAGGTAAACCCATGAACTAGAGAGACTGAACTAAAAATGTCTGTATGAAGTGATGTCAAGTGGGAAAAAATTCCATACATATACATGTGACTTGATTAAACTTTTGTTTGTGCTTGAAGTACAAAGTATTGAAGGAAAGCAAATAGTTTCCAGACTTTTTGAGACATGTCTGTTAATAATTATTATAATCACAAGGGGTCCCATCTATTAAGCACATGGTAGCATACACGGGCTAGTGCTGTTCACATCATCTCATTTAATCGTTGTAACAGCCCTGCCAAGTCTGTGGTATTATTTTTATTTGAGATAAAGAATATTTAACTAAGCCTTGAACTAAGGCTTAAAAATAGTTTGCCCAAGTGCATGCAGCTGACAAATAGAGGAACCAAGACCTGGGACTTCCTTGCTCCAGAGCCCAAGCTCTTTTTCTCTAAAAGTAAAGAAACTTAGATAAATTTGACCCCCTAAACAGCATCTGTATGTTCTTGATCTTCAGACACTAGTAAAATTGATAATAGTTTTGTTCACTCTCACTACTATCCATTTTAAACAAATCACAAATAAAATAATAGAAATTAGAATTCGCAAAGTAGATGCCTGGCTTTTCACATCCAAATCACCAATGCAAAACTGTATGTGTGTTCAGTTTGTGGGTTTATGTGTATGTGTATGTGCATGCACACACGTGTATGCATGCATGCAAGTTCTGCATGTGTCAGGTGTTTGCATGCACCCAGAAGTATATCCATGTTTTATGGGGCCTAAAGTTTACAACTTGATGGATGCACGTAGTTATAGGGCTCCTCCCAAGGGACTCTGGAAGTGAAGGCCCCTGAAGCTCACTAGCTTCATGGCAGACCCATCTCTGCACAGGCATGCGTGTACGTGAACTATGTATGTATGCATGCAGATATATCGAGGAGCCAACAAAAGCTAGAAGTACCTTTTACGGTTAGTACTAGTTATTTCTTTGCTGGGAAGACAGAGGAAGATTTATCAAGAATCGAATGGGCCAAGAATTTCCCGAAAAGTGCCTTTTGAATTCAAGCCAATGATCATTAGCTATGTTAGATATACAGTGCTTTGGCTCGTGCTCTTTATTTTCAACAAGCAAATAAATATAACATTTTAAAATATCTTCTGTATTCCAGAGACCTTTTTCTTACTACTACTCTTCAAATACGATCTTCTGCCTCTATGAATATTTTAAGAGCATACCAAGAGAACAGGCTGGATGTTGGAATTGGGGGACTGTAGCGATGGAAGAGGGCGGAAGGCCATCTTTACTTATTTAGGAAACAGTCGTAGACAGGACACTGTTCGTGCTGCTCCAGACGCCAAAACGAAGAACTGAATGAAGTACATATGAGGTTCAGGGGAGGCCAGATTCCAACTCAACAGAAGAACTTTCTGTCGGCTAGAGCTGTCCAAAAATGATTTGCTTATCTTGTGGCCAGCTGCCCATCCCTGAAAGTACTCCGCCAGAGCTACTTCTTGGCAGGGGAAGGGGAGGCGAGGAACTTCCTGAGCACAAGTCCGAGTCATTGTAAGAAACCTCTGGAATCCTCTCTCTAAGACTCCAAGCTGTTACCAGGCACACACCGTTATTACTGCCAGTCGCACACAAGGCATGCAGTTCTGTTGGGTTTCCCCCCATAGTTGTGACGTGTTTGTATTAAGCCTGACACATTCCCGGGCTGAGCCCCTGGTTGCTGAGGAAACATGCTGGTGAATGGATGCATCTAGCTGTGGCCAAACTTCACAGCCTTGGGATTCAGTTTTTTCCTGGCCTGGAACCTGGGACCTTGCGCCCTTGCTCCCACCCATTAGCCAGCTGTGACAGGTGGTGCTTCTGAGTGTTATCTTACTAGTTCTCACAACAGGCGTACAGTTAGGTAGGGAACTGGCCAAGTTCCACTTGACTTGCTCCTTCCCCTGCTTCCTCTGCCCACTCGGAGAGGAAGCTGGGCTGCCTGGCTCCCTCGGCCAGCTTTGGGGTGAGGCTGACGTGAACACCTGGGAAAGCCTGGGGCAGAGCCCATCAGCCCCACTGTGGGCTTAGCCACCAGGCAGGGTGAGGTGTCCAGAGAGGCCAAGAATGGGTGAATTGCCCTTTCTGGGGGGCAAACACAGCACTCACTGACCATGACCCAGTCACTCCACCTTTTTTCAATGTGTGAGACCTCCATGAGGGCCTACAGGTCTGTTCTAAACCTCTTTAATAATATCAGTAATAATAATAATGGTGGTCACAGCCACAGCTAGTGTTTGCTGAGTTCTCACTGTTTGCCCGATGCTGCGATGAGCTCAGCTCATTACATGGATTACCTCGACTCCTCACAGTAACCCTGTTAACAGGCCATTGTGCAGAGGAGGGAACTCTGTGAGCCTAGAGGTATTAAAGGATGTGCCTGAGGCACCAGCCTGATTCCACACTCTTCCTCCCCACTCTCCTGCCACCACATCTTAGAGTTTCTCTAGCCCCAGGAGTGGCCCCAGGAAGGGGTTAGGGTGTAACAGTGCCCCAGCCCCTGCTCTAGACAGTCCTCTCATTGAGAAGTTCAGAGACTTGCTCAAGGTCATCTGGGGGGCCCAGCAGCTGCATCCGCAGTCTGCCCCTTCCCGCCACGTCAGCTCGCCTCTCCAAACTAACGAAGTTGAACATCCTCACAGACGCCAAACTTACACATTTCCTGCCCCCCCCCTTCCAAAATGGATGCACTAATTACTGACCATTTTTTAGTAATAGTAATCATCAGGAACACATTTGTCAGTGTTTCCATCTTCTCTTCTGCATGCTACCCAAATAAAGTGTCGCTCAAACCCACAGGATGAAACCCAGTGAGTGTGAAGCCCTGTAAATTAAGAAAAGTTTAGGAAGACATTACACCAAACCGAAAGAAATAAAGTGTTGATTAGGGACTTATTTTTGTAAGCGATTAAAATATGAATCATTAAAATAGGACTATATTTCAGGCTCTGTATCCTTGTCGTATCGGCGACAACATTACCATGACTACTAGGTTGGGATTCGATGAGCTCCGAAGCCTTCCCAGCTCCAAAACTCAGTCATGTGCCGCGGCTCTGCCTTCTAAAGCCTTTTAAAGTCTGATTCAGAGCACCTCTGTGTCTCCTCGCCGTGTCACTAAAAGGAAATACCCAAGTGGCATGGTGTCCTCACCTCTTTAAAGTCTTTTGCTTTACTGAGTCATAACAGTACATAGTGGCAGTAAGTTATGTTAATAGCAACAAAAATTCAAAGGTTGAGGAAGGAAGACAGCCAAAGCAAAGACACAAGGGGCCTCAGGAATCCCTTAGAATAGAATGTTATAGAACTTAATTTGGTATAAATGGAAGAGGAGGAGAGGTCTGCACAGAGAAAGAATTTAACAGAATTTCTGGGTTCAGGCTGAGTTTAAAAGAAAAAAATAATTTAGTAAGATCTACAGCCCAAAATTTGCAGTTAAATTAAGTTGTTAATGAAAGTATCTGTTTAAGATGGCTAAGATTAGAGATGAAAACCCTTTATTTGCTCCAACTGTTGACTGCGTATCTGTCTGTGGAAGGGTGTGGGGGGACGTCAGAAGGTTCTGGTATTTGAAAGATTAATCACCTACTCCTAAGGGGTTTTGAGGCCCCCACCTGCATTTTGAACTTGGATTTAAGCCAAAGGGGTGAAAGAGGTGTTTTTTCTCTAACTTCTCAGTGGACACTTCAAACGCCAAATGTATCAGAACAGAGACCTCAGCTCAGAATAGCCCCCACCATCCTCCACAAGGGGCTGACACCTAAAGACGGTATTTTGGAAACTGTGGAACCTTGGAGCTTCGCTGTGTTGTATTTTTAAAGGAAGAAGCATCCCAGAGGTGCCAGGCTCTATGTGGTCTCTTCAGTACCTAGCACCTCTGACCAGACTAGTGAATTTTTTTTCATATCTGTACCCTTCCTGCCTGGGATTGGGGTGGGTAGAAAAGCATGGGTGTGGGGTTTTTTTCAGGGGGTGTTGATTTCTTTGAAACTATGAGTTGTCATTGGAACATTAAAACTTTTCATACTTGCCTGGCCAGTGTGGCTCAGTGATGAGAGAGTCAGCCCGCAAGTCACAGGGTCGCTTGTTTGATTACCAATCAAGGGCACATACCTGGGTTGCAGGTTCGATCCCCAGCCCTGGTTGGGCACGTGTAGGAGGCAACCAGTTGATGTGTCTCACATTGATGTTTCTCTCTCCCCCTTCCACTCTCTCTAAAAATCAGTGGAAAAAATATTCTTGGTGAGGATTAACAAAAAAAATTAAAAATAAAACCCTTTTCATACTCAGTGACTTCATAATTCTTTGAATTATCTGAAATGCAAGCAAAGATAGATGTGGAAAGGATGTTTTTACAAAAGTAATAGCGATGAATTTGGACAATTTAAATTTCAAATAAAGTCCACTACATCCCTGCAAAGCATGGTCATTATGCAGCTACTGGAACACTTCGATAATGTGGGAGGAAAAGAGCCACACTAAACTATAAGCTTGATTCTAATTTATAACTATAGGTAGGATGAACAGGGCTTTCCTCTTAGTGGTAGGATTATAGGTGACTTGTGTTTTCTTTCTGGTTTTCAGCATTTTATAATACTTTTTTATATATTTCATAATCAAAAAGTTCTATTTAAAAAAATTGCATGGCTCTGACCTTCATGGTTTGGAGCGGCACATCCTGTGTGTCCCCTGAGCTCTGTGAGTGTCAGAAGCGTGGCCATCTTACGTGACAGTGTCCTCAGGACAGTGCCGATTTGAAGCTCAGTAAATAGTGGAATGGAACATTCCCATTTCTGTATTTCTCTTTCCTTTTTCTTTCCAGGTGATGTGCTCTATGAACTCCTTCAGCATATTCTGAAGCAGAGGAAACCTCGGATTCTCTTTTCACCATTCTTCCACCCCGGGAACTCGATCCACACCCAGCCGGAGGTCATACTGCATCACAACCACGACGAAGGTACTCGAGGAGGCTTGTCTTTCCTTGCCTGAGACTTGGACAAATCCAAGAGGTCGCATTGTTAATTTGATAAGTTCTTTTTTATGTGGTTCATTTTTCATTCAACAAACAAATTATTGAGTGCTTACTTTGTATAAGATCCTGGGGGAAATGCCGACGTGATTGAGATACACCTTTGGTTCAGTGCAACTCACAGTCTAGGTGAAGAAATGAGCAAGATGTAGGCATCATAGGGAGGTAGTGGAAGGGGAGATATGTCCAGGTATAAGCAGTAGGGTCAGCTTCCTGCATGAGGTGGCTCTGGGGGATTCCTTGATGGTCCAGCAGGATTTGGATAAGTGGGGATGACATGGAGAACATTCTAAGCAGAGAGAATGACAGGATGGAGTAAGTGCTTGGAGTAGAAAGCAGTCAGGTGACTTGGGTTGTAGAGCTTATCTTCCCCCCTAGCTATCTCACCCCCACAATCATTTGTTACGAGAAATTTCAAACATACCCCAAATGGAGAGAATAAATACACCCCTGTGAGCCATCGCCCTGCTTCAACAATGAGCAAGACACTTTGCCTTTGCAGAGCTACTCCAAGGAGGTTAGGTTGGAAGTAGAATGTGGAGGACTTGGATGGAAGAAAGTAATGGGGAGTCACTGAAGATTTGTGAGCAGAGGATAATGAAAGCTGGAGGGAGGAAAAAGACCCAAACCCTATGAATTCTGGGAGGATCCGGGGAGTTCCTCCTCATGCACCAAAGGCTGTGACTTACAGGTACAGTGCTTATTTCAGCTCCCTGGTGCAGCTCTCTCTGAGTCACACCCATCATGAAAGTCACTGATAGAAAAAAGAACAGAAAACCAGACTAGCACTGTGGTCCTGGACATCGTTCCAGAACAGGTGTATGGGTATGGAAATGGTGTATGAAAATCTTCCTTTACATGCCATTCCAGTGATGCTCGGAGCCTCTGTGGAGCGTTATGTCCATGCATTCCTGCCCAGACTGGTTAGACAATAGATATGGGGACACAAAGCAATATTTTTAAACCTATACTTTTTCTCAGGACCAGATTACTAGGGGACTAAACCCCTGGTCCCTTGGGGTATTTCCTTAAATTGATAGATCACCCCCAGGAGCAGGGCTAATATTTTCGTTTTATTGTTGGCAAATTTAAAAAAAAAAGAAGTTGTTTTCTTAATTAACACTTCACAAAAGAGAGCCTGACTCCAGGCGATCGGCACCTCTTCCTTGTGCCAAGTGTTTCCCAGCAGGTCCCCTCACTTCGTGATGTTTCTAGCCTGTTCCCTGCCCGGTTCCTCTCATCCGTCCTCCCTCTAGTTTTACCCTTGCTAAATTTAGCAGCTGGCCCCACCCGAGTTGGGTTCTTCATTCTTCTGCTCTTCCTGCATGTACATTTCCGCTCGCATAGCAACCAGCAGCTACTCCAGACAAGAGGAGGTGGGTTTACTGAAGCTTGACATTAAGGCGAGAGTCACATTACCTTGCCTGCCTCTTCAGATACAAAGGGTGTGATGGGTTGTTGTTTTTTCCTCTCTCTTTTTTTCATTACTTAAAAAAAAAAAATCACATTTGGAATTTCTTTTCCTCTTTTTATTCCCAAATGTGATTGGAGACTGAGGTCTCCCCTCATCACAAGTCCCTCCTCCTTTCCCTCTGGCCTGATTTGACTCCTGCATAGGTGTGCTTGTTCTCATTTGCAGGAGCTAATCAATAGAGAAAGCTGGCTTACTCTCAGAGCTGCTCTCAAACCCGGTAAATGCAGATGTGCCACGACCTATACTTTAATGAGCTGTGCTTTCAAGTGTTAGGATGGTGGTGGGGATGAGCTCAGTAGGTAAAAGAATGGCGCTAATGAGGCCAAGGTCAAGGACTTCATTGCCTGTGCACCAGTTAGCTCTGCTTCAGACCCAGCTCTTAAAAGTGTGCTCAGAGACCATTCCTTAAAGCTGTCAGCCAGGAAACGAGATCTGAGAGTACACACCCTTTTCTTCGCCCGTTCGGACCCAGGGCATGCTCTCAGATGAACAGGTAGACTCATAAGAAGGGAAGCTTAGGTCTTCATCAGGTGGTAGCAAATGAGAAGAGCTGTGCAAGGCCCAGAGGTGGTATGAAGAGGCTGCCTGCCCCCAGACTTGCTGATATATTGATGCCCTTGGTGACAAGGGAACCGACTAGAGAGGTAAATGGACCAGTACAAGTTCCCTACCCCCAGCCGCCTCTCACCTCTTTTCCTTTCTTCTCTACCAACAAGAAGAAATACCCGCCCGACCAGGCGTGGCTCAGCGGTTGAGCATCAACCTAGGATCCAGGTGATCGGGGTTTGATTCCCGGTCAGGGCACATGCCTGGGTTGTGGGCTCAATCAGTGACTCTCTCATCATTGATGTTTCTATCTCTCTCTCTCCCTCTGCTTTCCTCTCTCTGAAATAAATAAAGATATATTAAAAAAAAAAAAAAA